CCTACAGACACTGACACTCAACGTTAATTTAGCCATAGTAGGAGCTGTGTATCCTGTGAGCTTTCTAGAGGTCGATCATTCCAAGGCATAGCTGGACTTGTGAAGGTCAGTGGGATCATTTCCTAGGGCCCCGAATAACGTGACTGATAGTGGTTTACTGCTCACAGTTTGAATAGTCTACCCGTATCCTTTCTGCTATGAATTGTCAGTAGCAAGCTTCCTTTCAAATACCACGTATTGTTCTAGTTCAGTTCACTGTCCCGGGGCGTAAAGATCGGTCACTCTAAGTCCTGGCATACTTCTGGATGGCCTGTCACTCAGCAGCATGTGCTACTGTGGCTTGCTTCTCTTTTGTTGTGTCATGAAAACTCACCTAGCACATTGCTGTCCTTTGTGATAGATCACTAAGGATGGTTACTGAGGTGCAGTCATCGTTTACACACACACACACACATACATATAGGGTGTGTCTATATACACACACACTAATGTGTATATTTTCTCTTTTCTTACTCAGCCTCATTCCCCTCGTATTAGGTACTTTTAAAACGTCATTTCCTTTCTCCCTCTCCTGCACCGTTGTCTGGGTCCCGGTCTACCAGCAACTCCTTCAGATGTTGCTTAATTCGTCTGAAATGCTCATCCTGTTTCTATCTCCCTTCCACCCAGAGGAACGCCAGCCCTTAAGTACAGAGCTGGATGGCAGGCACCTCAGTGCCAAGTCACTGACTGTCAAGTGTCCGTCTCAGTCTCCCCAGGTCTTCCTTTTCCTTTCCTTCTTCCCTGAGCCGGTTAACACATGTATCATATACTTCAGTCCGGAGAGACTCAAAAGCCATGCTTCCGATGCTGCCACAGGAAGCACCCTGTCTTTGTGTTCTGGTCCGAGTGGCGAAGATGCTGTCATAGCCTGTGACACCTCAGCTGGACTGTGAGTTTTTCAAAAGATGGCATTAGAGTGTTCCCTCCTAATAAGATGCGTGTGGCAGCACTGGTCAGAGGTTGCATAGTCCTCCAACTGTTGCGTCTTAGCACCAGGGCCCTGGGGAACATGGAGGCTTGAGTTATTTCAAAGGTGGCCTTTACTACCCAGAAAATGAATAACTCACCAAATCAGCAAGAGGAGAAAGTCGAGAGCTGGCAAGTGCCCCTGGAGGCACATGTCCTGCCCCTCACGGGACAGTAGCTGAGAGGTGACGTATCCATGCCAGCTGCACCCCCTGGATGGGACTTCTGATTCTGAACTTATCAATGGGAAGGAAACTCCTGGGGTTTTCTTCCAGAAGGCAAATTAGTTCTGAACTATTTCACATGTTCTCTGCTGACCGAGAGCCCACGTCCATTCAGGGACTCGAGTGACCAAACATTAGTTGTCTGATTGTGTTAGGTCATGGGTGAATTTCATCCACAGGTCCCTGCAGACATAAGAGTGGCAAATTACAAAGGCATCCTGTAAAAAAATGACAAATTATACAGAACTTAAATGAAAAACATTGTATATTATCTGTAAATTGTATGCAGCATATTCTTTTAAAAATTAAAGTTTTATGAAAATGTTTAAAATTACAATAAATTTATGTGCATACACTTTAATCCCAGAGATTCTCTTTTTAAACATTGAAACACCACCTATTTTATTTAGGAACTTATGTAGGACAGGCTGGTTGAGAGCATATGATTCTCCTGCATCAGCCTCCTACGTGCTGGAACTACAGGCTCGTGCCACCACGGCTGGCCCGTAGACCCTTTTGTCTCGCTCACACTGGATCTGGCTGGCCATCCCTCTGCTTTGGGGTGTCACATTTCCATTCTTTAGTTACACAAGTAGTGTTCTGCCTAGCCCTCTAGATGTTTTTAATCCTTTCCTCAAGACTACTCTATTAGGTTGGGGTGTGGCTCAGTGGTATTGGGCATCCCTAGTTTGTATGGAGCCCCTGGCTTCAATCTGCAGCTCCTCAGTGGGGAAGAGTGTTTTGTTCTGCTGAAATATTTGCCAAGTGCTGCGATCATATGCAGCAACACATCTGACTTATTTGGTGCTGGGGATGGAGCCCAGGCCTTCATGCATGCCAAGCAAACACTACCAACTGCATTACACCCTCAGCCTCAGGAAGGGCATTTTCAAAGTCATGTTCTTTGGCGGTAAAGTCTTTGAAAACTTCCCATGTGTAATTAAAGTTTTTATTACAATTCTCAACTTGAAAATTAAGCCCCTTACTTGGTCAGCTTCTTTTCCCCCTTCCCGTCCTTAAGTCAAAAGGAACCACTTATAGATATTTTTACATTTTTTGCCTCATTCTTTTATGCTTTCAGAAGCCAGACTCTCTCTCTCTCTCTCTCTCTCTCTCTCTCTCTCTCTCTCTCTCTCTCTCTCTGTGTGTGTGTGTGTGTGTGTGCATGCATATGCATGAGTGTATAAAAAGTCTTTGAGCCCAGGATACATTTGTTTTAAGGTTTTCCTCAGCGTGGCCAGGCTCTGTACTTTGGCTCACCACAGAGTTGCTCATACACAGCTGGTGTGGATCGGTTCCACTCACTTTTATAACTCTCTTTCCCAGAATCCAGGATCCGAAGACATCTCCATTCCCCTGGAGGTCAGATAATGGCTGTTGTCCATAGTCCTGAAAATCTACAGGGAGAACCATGGCACGCTGACAAGGGCTGTTAAAGGGACATCAGGCTTGAAGTCCCAACACAGGGAATCACATATCTTTGAACCCTACTGCAAGATCTGTAGGACAGCTGCCAACCCTGGTCAGTTGGGAGTCTGGCTCTCCAGCCCCAGCTGTGTGGAGGTGCTGCTGGCACCCAGCCACTGGAGCGAGTCCCACGGAAGGAGACGAGCTCTTGGAAGAACTGTTTGCGTCTGCTTTCTCCCTCTTCACAAGAAGATAGGCACTGTGAACTCCACAGTCACTAACAACAGCAGCAATTACCCTGCTTACTGTGTGTGACTCGTGCTAGGCCTAGCTCATTGAGTAACTTGCCTGCCCCCTCTCCCCCCATGTCCAGAGGCGAAGAGAAGAGAACAGAAGGCAACGTCTGGAAAGGCAAGCCCTCGTTCCCCTTCCCTCTGCAGACCTGTGGCAGGAACTCACTGCAGCCCTGTGCAGGTACCTCATACATACATTTTCCTGCACTCTGGGAACTCAACTGATTAGCAGAGGTTAAAGACCCTCTACAGAACCATTTGCAGTCTCCGGCTCTTCCTGCAGAAGATCTTTCCGTTCCTGTTCAACTTAGTGTACTTGGAAACAGCAGGCACTTAAAATTAGTGCGATGTTCTAGGTCTCCATGGGAGGCCCCAGCGCGGGCCACCCAGACATTTCAGGAGCATACACAGGTTGGAGTGTTGCATCTGAGATCAGGACAGGGCTCATAAGTGTTCCCAGGAACCTGTCGCAGAACCTCTTGGATTTTGAGCCTCTTGGTGATACTGGGTCTTAACGAGGATCTGTGTCCTTTCCTGGACAGGTGGGGCAGAGCTGCTGGTCCTCCAGCTCCTGGGACCCACAACCTCTGCCCACCTTTGTAGCCCACCTCCCCCCAGAAGCTGTGGTGGAGACCACAGGGTCTCCAAGGGCCAGGGTGTTGGACCCCCAGTCTTTTTGTGTATGACCTAGGAGTGAGAAAACCCAAATCAGTTGTTAGCAAACGCTTAGTAAAATGTCTGAGGCAAAGATCTTGAAGCTCATTGGAGGCAAGAGGATGTGAGAGGCTTGGGAGAAGGGTCTCTGTTGCTCTTTGCCCCCAGTACTCTGAGTGAATTCACCAGAAATGGGAGAGAATAACCCGCTTTTCAAAAGAGGTAGTAGCAGGCAAAAATCATTCTAAAGGTGTTTGCATTCACACAATACTCATTTAAGTTATTCATGCCAACAAGAATAATTTGTAGCACACATAAAGTTACAAGTGTAAGCTGGGCAGTGGTGGCACATGCCCTTAACCCCAGCACTCAGGAGGTGGAGGCAGAGGTGGGCAGATCTCTGTGAGTTTGAGACCAGCCTGATCTACAGAGCAAGTTCCAGGGCAACCAGGGCTACACAGAGAAACCCTGTGTCAAAAAACCACACACACACAAAAGCCAAAGTTCTTGTTTTTTGGGGAGACTGAGCTCCCCCTTACTGTTTTAAACTCAAAATGACATGTAAAAACAATGACATGGAAACAATGAGCCAGAGCATATTTCTTAGTAAAAGTGAAGAAGAAAACTTTCATCTATATTTGAGATTCAAAAAAGCATCACAGGAAGAAAAAAAAGATCCAGAGTTGAGACTTGTTTTATTATTACTAGTAGTATTTTGAGACAGGGTCTCACAATATAGTCCTGGCTGGCCTGGAATGCTATGTAAACCAGAACTCACAGGGATCTGCCTGCCTCTGCCTCCTGGGTGCTGGGATTAAAGCTGTGTGCTGTCATCCAGGGGCTCGTGTGTGCGAGGCAAATGCTTTACTACTGAGCCACCCTCTTAACCTAAACCGTTTTTGTTTCCTCTGTTTAAAAGCAGCAGAGAGCAAGACGCCCTTTCAGGCAGGCTTTCTTTCTTTCTTTCTTTCTTTCTTTCTTTCTTTCTTTCTTTCTTTCTTTCTTTCTTTCTTTCTTTCTTTCTTTCTTTCTTTCTTTCTTTCTCTCTCTCTCTCTCTCTCTCTCTCTCTCTCTCTCTCTCTCTCTCTCCTTTTTTTTTTTTTTTTTTTTTTTTTTGGTGGTATCTCATTATGTCACTCTAGCTGGCCTGAATCTCACTATGTAACCCAGGTTGCTGGCCTTCAACTTGCAGAAATCCACCCATCTCTGCCTCTCGAATGCTGGGACTCAAGGCATCCACCACCACTCGCAGCTGAACATGTTAATGTAGTGGGGATCTCTTCCCCGTCTAGGCTGTATCCTAAAGCAGTCTTTTCCTCTGAAATCAAATTTTGTTCTTGGAGACAAGGAGGAAGAGGCAAGGTCAGAGAATATAGATGAGGTGAGGAGAGGGGCTTAGAAAAGTTGTTTTTTTATAATCACCAGCAGGGAGGATACCATGATCAAGAAGGTTTTCCCAGGGTGAGGCTCTCCCATTGCACTCTGGGTATGCCGGCTCCTGTGATTTTCCCAAATACAGGAGATTCAACTGCATGATTTGTGGTAGTAGGGGACAGCATTTGAGCTTTTCCCTTTAAAAAAATTAATTTCCTCAGTTTATAGTTCTGACACATCTACATTTTAAAATAATTTCCCATTTTTTATTTTAAAAAGTGTGTGTGTGTGTGTGTGTGTGTGTGTGTGTATGTGTGTATATGTGTGTGTGTGTGTGTGTGTGTGTGTGTGTGTGTGTGTGCGCGCGCGCGCGGGTGCCATATGAAGGTCAAAGGACAAGTTAGAGTTGGTTTGGTTGTTCGGGTCTACAGTATAGGTCCCGGGCATTGAACTTGTTATTGAGCTTGGCAGCAGGCTTATCTGCTGAGCCATCTATTTATTTTTATTTTTAACATAGCTTTTTAACTTAGATACAGTTTATAAATCTCTCATTGTGTTGTAAAATGCCCACCCACAGTCTTTAAATTCTATTACCTGCTGGGTACGGTGGCACATGCCTTTGATTCTAGCACTTGGAAGGCAGAGACAAAACATCTCTGTGAGTTTGAGGCTAGTCTGGTCTACACAGTGAGTTCCAGGACAGCCAGGATTATGTAGAGAAAACCTGCTTCAAAAACCAAACAAACAAAAAATAAAAACAAAAATAAAAATAAAAAAAATTCTATTACTTAAGTTTTTTGTTTGCTTTTTGGTGTTGGTTTGTTTTTCAAGACAGGGTTTCTCTGTGTAACAGCCCTGGCTGTCCTGGATCTCTCTTTGTAGACCAGGCTGGTTGAACTCACAGAGATCTGCTTACCTCTGCCTCCCAACTACTGGGATTAAATGCATGCACCACCACACCTGGCCCAAGATTTTAATGGAGCATGCAAAAACTCGATTTAGGGGTGTCATATGTTTCCTACTGAGGCAAGTGTAAAACAGGTTTAATTTAGTTACATTTCCCCATTTTCCAAATACTTGAGCTTTGAAATAACACAATTATCAAGCATAAAACCAGTTAAAATAAGAAATGGTGGTTTTCCTCCAAGCATTCTTTCCTTGAATCTCTGTATTTCATTTTCTCCTGAAAGTCAAATGCTTGTCTACACTGCCAAGGGGTCTGGTTTATATGCTACCATTAGGAGTCACTTCCTCAGCTTTCATCCAGAGGTCAGTTCCTCCCACTGTGTCTCAAACTTGTCCTGCACATTTCCTGAAACATGAGAGGGCTCAAGACACTGGGTGATCAACCCTGTGTGTCTTTTTCCAGCTGGGCCAATAAAGTTCTTTCCAGTCCCAAAAAGACAGGTTTTGTTGAGCTGCTTCTCTATGAGGTAAAACATAGGGTATTTTGACACGTCCACGTTGTTGGGCTTTATGATCAGGTGATCACAGAATTACTAAACTAAAGGCATCAAGGTTGTAATAAGCATGAAAAGCTATAGAAAAATGCAAACTTGTGGGGCTGGAGAGACGGCTCAGTGGTTAAAAGCACTAGCTGTTCTTCCAGAATACCTGAGTTCAGTTCCCAGTAGCTATATTGGGCAGCTCACAACTGCCTGAACTTCAGCTCCAGGGGATCTGACTCCCTCTCCTGGCCTCTGTGGCATTTTTACTCACTAGCAATATACCTATACATAGAAACATGCACATAGGCATACTTTTTTTAAACAAATCTTTTTTAAAATGCAGAATTGTATGTTGGAGGAGTGGCAGAAGAAAGACTGAATGCTAGCAAAAAAATGAACTTTTTGAAAACAAAATAAACCAACTGCTCTGAAAAAAAAACCCAATAATACATCAAAATCAAATAAGATCCAAATAACCATCCAGAATAAACCAGTGGACCATGGGCTAAACCAAGGATGGTCTAACCCTAGAAAGAACTCATCAGCATCTACTCAAGGAGGCAATGTTGAACCATTGGGCACAGTGGCCCATGTGGGTACCTAATGATAACTTAGGTGACTCTTCTGATGAAAGTGGATCTGCTTGAGGCCCCATATTGGGTGCCAAACACTGTCAGTGCAAAAATATAGCTCCCTTCTCAAGACATAGTTTATTCTGGAGCAAAATATGAGTAATAGTGCCTTGGGCACATAGATATTGGTTACTCCAAATACTGTGTTTTAATGTGGTAACAATTTTTCAGAATGAAAACAAAAGCTGTAAATAAAGGTACTTAAAAATAGGTTGTTTTCCATGGCTACATAACACTAGATGGCTTTGATATGTCATCAATTACTTGTTGTAGAATATTATTTTAAGATTTTTTTTTGTACTGTGGAACATTTGTTTAATGATGCAGAGATGTGTTGCATTCTTTTATGTTGCATTTGTTTAACTCTGTGAAGCTGTGTTACTTTACCTGTCTAAAACACCTGATTGGTCTAATAAAGAACTGAACAGTCAATAGCAAGGCAGGAGAAAGGATAGGCAAGGTTGCCAGGCAGAGAGAACAAATAGAAGGAGAAATATGGGAGGAAAAGAAAAAAGAGCAAGAGAACAAGGAGAAGAGGACATTAGAGGTCAGCCACACAGCCACACAACCACCACAGGGCAAGAGTAAAAGTAAGATATACAGAAGTAAGAAAAGGAAAAAGCCTGGAGGCAAAATGTAGACTGGTTAATTTAAGTTAAGAAAAGCTGTCAAGAAATAAGCCAAGCTAAGGCTGGGCATTTATAATGAAGAATAAGTTTCCCTGTGTGATTATTTGGGAGCTGGGTAGCGAGCTCCCCAAAAGAGAAAAAGCAACCAACAACATTTACTTAGCCAGCTCTGCATGTGCTAGACGTTTCCTTAGTTTCTGTCTCTGTTTCTTTTCCTGTTGTGATAAAGCACTCCAACAAAGTCAGGCATGGTGGCTCACACCTTTGATCCCAGTACTTGGGAAGCAGAGGCAGGCAGATCTCTGAGAATTCGAGACTAGCCCAGTCTACAGAGCGAGTTCCAGGACAGCCAAGGCTGTTACACAGAGCAATGTATGCACACCGATGCTCAGCTCACTTTCTCCTTTTCATTCAGTCTTGGACCCAGTCCATGAAACAGAGTTGCCGATTAGGATGGGTCTCCTCATCTCAATTAACCCTGTTAAGAAAACCCCTCACAAGCATGCACAGAGGCCATCTCAGCTGACTCTAGGTTTTGTCCAACTGACAACACCAACCATCACACTTTTGGGCTTTTGGTATTAGAAATTCTGTGAAAAATGACCTTGAACATGTATCTTTATATTAACCACATGTTTTTGTTTACTGTGCTTTGACATCTGGTGACTTCCTGATCCTGGGGAGACAACCCCTGCATGGCTAGCTAACACCAAGAGTGGTGGTTCTCAACCTTCCTAATGCTGCAACCCTTTAATACAGTTCATGTTGTGGGGAGCCCAAACCATACAATCATTTTTGTTGCTACATCATAACTATAATTTTGCTACTGTTATGAATTGTAGTGTAAATATCTGTATTTTCTGATGATCTTAGATGACCCCTATGAAGGAGTCTTTCAACACCAAAGGCATCCTGACCCACATGTAGAGAACCTGCTGACCTTGAGAGATTAAATGACTTGCCTGTGAGTTTGCCTTTCATATACAAAAATCAATTCTGAGGTCTCTCACACATTAAGCCAATATTCTCCTGGCCCTAACTCTCCCTGCCCAAGGCTAGGCAGGGACTTCTAGAGGCTCTCCTGCTCTAGAGGATAGAGTTCTAGAGCCAGTTGAAATTATTCCGACTAGTCATTCTGAGGTGCGTGTGTCTACTTTGCTCATGGAAACTGCAGTAAAGGCTCTGGCTTATGCCTTCTCTTATTCTATCTGCTTCCCGTGTACCCATGTGTCCCCATATGGCCCTGCACTGTCCCTTTTCTTGGAAATTGTAAATAATAGAGTCTTCATTTCAAAGACACAGCCGTGGGCCTAGAGAGACAGCTCTACAGTTGAGAGTGTTTTGAGCACCCATGTCAGGTGACGTACAACCACTTCTGACTCCAGATCCAGAGGATCTGTTCTTCTTCTGGCCTCCTCAGGCATCCGTACTCACATGCACATAGTCACATAATTAAAAATAAAAGAAAGGTTTTTTTTTTCTTTCCTTTTCAAAAGGACAGAGTCATCTTTGTCATCTAATCAAAACAAATCCTGGGTGCATGCCAACGCGGTCATTTTGCCAATCATGATGATGTCTGTCTGTAATCTTGACACTTGGGAGGCAGAGGCAAGAGTATTATTGTGAGTTCAAGGATAGCCTGGTGGTCAATGTAGTGAGTTCTGAGCCAACCAGGGCTTCTGAGGAAGACCTTCCCAAACAAACAAAATCCCCAAACTGAATGACAGAAATGAGTGGCCTGTTGCTTGGCTCCGCGGGAACCGTGTCTTAGGATACGTAGAAAGACTAAAGGAAAGTAGTGGGAGGCATGCCATCTGTGTTGGCTCATCCCTGTCATTCCAGCACTCAGGGCGCTCAGGCAGGAGCTCTTCCAGCCTGGGCTACACACACACACACACACATACACACACACACACACACACACACACACACACACTGAGAGAGAGAGAGAGAGAGAGAGAGAGAGAGAGAGAGAGAGAGAAGTAAAGAAGGAAAGAAAGAAAAAAAGAAAGCAAGGATGAGATGGGAGGAGCTAGGGAGATGGCCAGTGGGTGACAGTGCCTGTTTCACAAGTGTGGGGCCCTGAGTCCAAATCCACAGCATCCACATAGAAAGCAGGACGTGGGTGTGCATAGGCCTGTAATTCTAGTGCTTCTGGGCTTGCTGGCTACCAACCTCTTTCCAGGTTCAGTGAGAGGCCCTGTTTTAAGTAATAGAGCAGGACATCCCGTGTCCTCCTCTGGTCTCCAAAAACAGGCAGAAAAAAAGGCATTTAAAAAAAAAGATGTTTATTTTTTTCTGATTATATGATTAAAATGTCATATATGTTCAAGCCTCAATTAAATGCTTATAAGAGTTGCTGAAGTCATGGTGTCTCTTCACAGCAATAAAACACTGACTAAGACACATGCTAAGCAAGCACTCTACCAACTGAGCTACATATCAACCTAACATGCCCTCTTTTCTTTTTTATAACTTTATTTTGCTCACA